AGACGCTTTGGCTTATTATATCCCTAACAGTAACAGTAGTTGTTTTATAAATTGTTTTCTGGACAGTTTTAATAAAATTAAAAAAACTAATTAAACAATTGTAGCATATTTCTATGCCTACACAGTCTGAGAATTAAAAACAAAAACAACCAAACTCTATCCTTTCTCCTTTTGTCTTTGAAATCAGTATTATTATTTTTCATTCATGCATTTTATCTAATAAATGCTTATTGAATACGTTTGTATTTGAAGATGCTATGTCCTTAGAGATTATAAATATAAATGAAGCTTGATGCCATGTTATACTATACTCATATCCATCAGTGTATTAAGGCTTAAGTAAATTACCGAGTGACACATAGGAGTGATGCCTAGTGCTCTCACAAAAGGATGAACATTTGGGAGAGATAGCCAAGGATTTTCTCAGATAGAGTTTATACCTCAAAACAAGGGGACAGTAATTTTAAGTAGGTTTGGAACTGAGGATACTACTGGTCAATTATTAGTATATAGGACATGTCTATGCTAAAGGTAGCAAGGTAATGAGTTAAGGAACCATACATTTTTAGTTCCCCTTTTCAGCTTCCCGAGTGTTTGCATGTCATGGTCTAACATACAGAAGAAGGATCATGTGGTTGTGAATGTCAGGTGAACTGCCATGGGGTAGAAAAAATGTTCAATCCATGTGTCAAGTCATCCTTCATTCCTGAAGGAGACAAGAAAAAGAAATAGCCTTGGACTACTCATTCCATAATAATGGTAATAAGCTCATATTGACACTACACTTTGGCATCAAACTTAGATATGTTGAAAATTATGTCTTACATGTGGGCAATTCCTTTACAAATTCCTTGGACAATTAGAAATTTAAATATGTAAATCAGCAAGTCATTTGTAAAGCTCTAAATATCTGGGAAAGATATGCACACAATCACCCGACTGTGTGATTTTATAAAATTCATAATGTAATTACTGACTGGTTCCCCACTCACCTTGATTCAGGGTACTTTAGTGCCTCTTCCTTCTGAAGAAGCATCCTTCCATCAGCCATGCTTTTTCTCCTGTAGGCTGATAGAGGACAACAGAGCAGTCAACACACAATAGCACTGATTGTAAAGGGCTAATGAAGGTGGTGATTTTATAACAACCCAGGCATTTAGATGAGTGAGATGAAGGGGATCCTTAGCCAGAGGTATGTTGTCATAGGGAGGTAGTCACTGCCAGAAAGAGTGAACATAGATCTTTGTTAAAGAAAATTACGACACCTTAGAATAATGCAGTTGAGTAGGACGTTGTGTAATAATGGAGATGTTTTATATCTGCACTGTCCAACTGGGTGGACACTCAGTTTACATGTAGCTATGAGAACTTTAAATGTGGCTAGTGAAATTGAGGAAATCTTTTTAGATTTTACCTACTTTTAATTAATTAAAATTTAAATACTTGTGGCTAATCGCTATTGTATTGGACAGAACAGTCATTGAAGACAGAAGAGCAATAGGGACATTATCCACTATCTGACATGTATATCTTATTATCAGCCTTAAAATTTGAAAAACTTATTTTTTAAGATTACTGTCCCTTCACATAAAATAATTAAAAGGCAGTTAACATGCTATTCATGGATTTTCAACTGACGTAAACTTGCCTTCATTTGCTTAGGAAAGCAAAGGTCAGTTAAAAATTTAGGTAAATGTTTAAGAACGAAATATAAATATACAAAAACAAAATACACAAACATAAATACATAAAATTTAAAATTAAAACTAGCATATTCTTTTTCCCAGATATAGTATAGTCATAAATTAGACAATTGGGTCTAAAAATCAAAAACTTATGATAATTTTTTTGTTCTTTTTATATTATATTACATATTCTAGTTTCCTCTTATATAACCTATGAAAATACTTTATAATATCTACTAGAGGACTGATGCACAAAAATTTGTGCACTTGGTGTGTGTGTGGGGGGGTCCCTCAGCCCGGCCTGTGCCCTCTCGCAGTCTGGGGCCTCTCAGAGAATGTCCACCTGCTGGCTTAAGCTGGCTCCCCGGGGGATCAGGCCTAATCTGGCAGTCAGACATCGCTCTGGAAGCCCGGGAGCCCTCCGGGGATGTCCACTTGCCAGCGGGGGGCAGGCCTAAGCTGCAGTTGGGCATCCTTAGCACTGCTGAGGAGGCGGGAGAGGCTCCTGCCATTGCTGCTGTGCTGGCAGATGTCAGCCTGGCTTGTGGCTGAGCAGAGATCCCCCCTATGGGAGTGCACTGACCACCAGGGCGCATCTCCTGCATTGAGCATCTGCCCCCTGGTGGTCACTGTGTGTCATAGTGACCAGTCATTCCCAGTCGTTCTGCTGTTAGGGTCAATTTGCATATTACCCTTTTATTACATAAGATAGAAGCCTGGTGCATGGGTGAGGCCCAGCTGGTTTGCCCTGAAAGGTGTCCTGGATCAGGATGGGGGTCCCCACTGGGGTGCCTGGCCAGCCTGGGTGAGGGGCTGAGGGTTGTTTTCAGGCTCCCCACAGCCCCTTCAGGGTGGTGGTCTGCACTGGGTGCCTGGCCAGCCTGGGTGAGGGGCTGAGGGTTGTTTTCAGGCTCCCCACAGCCCCTTCAGGGTGGTGGTCTGCACTGGGTGCCTGGCCAGCCTGGGTGAGGGGCTGAGGGTTGTTTTCAGGCTCCCCACAGCCCCTTCAGGGTGGTGGTCTGCACTGGGTGCCTGGCCAGCCTGGGTGAGGGGCTGAGGGTTGTTTTCAGGCTCCCCACAGCCCCTTCAGGGTGGTGGTCTGCACTGGGTGCCTGGCCAGCCTGGGTGAGGGGCTGAGGGTTGTTTTCAGGCTCCCCACAGCCCCTTCAGGGTGGTGGTCTGCACTGGGTGCCTGGCCAGCCTGGGTGAGGGGCTACTGGCTGTTTGCAGGCTGGCCAAGTCCCTCAGCAGGGACCCTCACCTATGGGGGTGTGGCCAGCCTAGGTGAGGGGCTGAGGGCTGTTTTCAGGCTGCCCACAGCCCCTTCAGGGTGGGGGTCCCCCTTGCAGTGCTGGGTCAGCCTGGGTGAGGGGCTGATGGCCGTTTCCAGGCTGGCTAAGTCTGCAGGCTGGAAGCATGTATCTGGGGTTTATTTATCTTTTATAATTGAAACTTTGTAGCCTTGAGCGAAGCTCAGGGCTGGCAGGACAGGCGGGAAGTTTGGTTTCCTCGATCACCGGGGTCAACTCAAGCCTCCTGCTTGCTCTAGTTCTGTGGCCGCTGCCATCTTAGTTGGGTTAATTTACATAATCACTCCTGATTGGCTTGTGGGCATGGCTTGTGGGTGTAATGGAGGCATGGTCAATTTGCATGTTTCTCTTTTATTAGATTCGATTTATAGCCCTTATTAAAATGTAATTATTTTCTTAATTAATATAAACCTGTTAATATCAAGACCATAATTAAATACTTAGACTGTCATTTTTTTCTCATCTTAGCTAGCATTTAATTTCCATTACATTAGCAAAATGTGTTTACACACTCCACATCCCCAATGCCTAGAAGAATGCTGTGACCATTTTTGCCAGTCAGTATTGGCATGCCAAGCGGTAACATGGATTTTTGTAAATTAAATTAAAATTTATTTTTCCTACTCATAAATGAGACATTCTGTATTTGAATTTTTCTAAAAACCTTTTGAAATGTCATTGCAATCATAAAATGATCATTAATCACTAATTCATTTAGATCAAATTTTAATAGTAAATATATTTATCTATATTTAATGTCATTGTCCTAAAAATACAAAGTTGAAAGATAGGTTTCAGTTTGCTAATTTTTCACACTCTAAGTGAATATGACATAGCAAATGTTTCCCTCGCTATATATTTTATTCAAAGAAAGTGCAAATTGTTTATTGGCTTATGTGAATAAAATATTAATAGGGTGTTCATTTCAGCTGTGTAAAATAAAACAAGATAACAAATATTCATGGATTGCTTCATATGATCTTGCTAGTTGACTAAAGGGTACTCACTCAATAGTATTCTTTAGTCAGCTAGTGAGATCACTATTTGTGAGGGCTTATCATATTGTAATTCAGAGGGGACTTTTAAAATTTTTTTGTTTTATTTTGATAAATTAGATTTTATCAACATTAAGGTATTTGACTATTTAAAAGACTTGTTGAGAGTATGAGACCTTTTGTGTATGGATGAGCAGTAGCACTGGAGAGAGCCCATCCATACTGATTATGAATTTTACAATTTTAATTGACTGAATTTCCTTGGATTATTCAAACACCAGAGACTGTACTTTAAACATTCCCATAATCTGACTTCATGTGATGAAAATAATATAGGTGCTGTTTCAAAGTTGACATTTTGGCATGTAACTTCATTCCACTGTGCTTACTCATTTAAAAAAAAATGTGTTTTTAATCTCCAAAAAATTTTACTTTTAAGAATTGTTCTTATAGAAAAAAGATGAAATTCTTTGTATTTTACACAAGGTTATATTCTTATCAGAGTTTCATTTTCTCACCTCACCAAAGGTTTTTGCTATATTTTTTAGATGCAATATATGTGTTACTGCCTTGGACGAATATTTCATATTCTATCGTAACTTATCATGGTGAAAAGCCATCAGTACAACTGAAATCTACAATAAAATATTTTATTTATATGGAGTAACTGTGGTTAATTCACTTATAACTTCATTCACCATGTGAAACATAGTGATAATTCTTTTTAAATATTCTACATACTTCTTCCTTTTGAAACTTTAATAGTTCACTTGAGTTACATTCATTATTATAAAATGCTACAACTTTAAAAACCCTCAGGACATTTTCTAGCAGAACTCTTTAATTTTAAAAATGCCTAGAGATGTTAAGCGACTTGCTTATGATCATAATATTAGTTATAGGCAGAGTTGGGACTTAGAATTCAAGTTTTCTGGCATCTATTTCTGAGCTAATCCTATGTCATGTGGCTTTGAGAATTTGAAAATTGGTCTATTACATAATAACGTAAGTTAACTGTTTCATTCTATATTTTCCAGGGTCAAAATGTTTTTGGGCTCGATGTCATTGAAACGCCAGAAGGAGACAAGATGCCACAACTGATTGTTCAGAAGGAGTTAGATAGGGAAGAGAAGGATACATATGTAATGAAAGTAAAGGTTGAAGATGGTGGCTTTCCTCAAAAATCCAGTACTGCCATTTTGCAAATAAGTATTGCTGATATAAATGATAACCATCCAGTTTTCACGGAGAGTGAAATTGAAGTCAGTATACCAGAAAATGCTCCTGTAGGTACTTCAGTGACACAGCTCCATGCCACAGATGCCGACATAGGTGAAAATGCCAAAATTCACTTCTATTTCAGCAATCTAGTTTCCAACATAGCCAAGAGGCTATTTCACCTCAACTCCTCCACCGGACTTATCACAATCAAAGAACCACTGGATAGGGAAGAATCACCAAACCACAAGTTGCTGGTTTTGGCAAGTGATGGTGGGTTGATGCCAGCAAGAGCAATGGTGCTAGTAAATGTTACAGATATCAATGATAATGTCCCATCAATCGATATAAGATACATCATCAATCCAATCAATGGCACTGTGGTTCTTTCAGAAAATGCTTCACTCAACACCAAAATTGCTCTCATAACTGTGACAGATAAAGATGCTGACCATAATGGTAGGGTGACATGCTTCACAGATCATGATGTCCCTTTCCGATTAAGGCCAGTATTTAGTAATCAGTTTCTCCTGGAGACGGCTGCATTTCTTGACTATGAGTCCACCAAAGAGTATGCCATTAAATTACTGGCCGCAGATGCTGGCAAACCTCCATTGAACCAGTCATCCATGCTCCTTATCAAAATAAAAGATGAAAATGACAATGCTCCCGTTTTTACCCAGTCTTTCATAAGTACTTCTGTTCCTGAGAATAACTCTCCTGGCTCCCAGTTGACAAAAATAAGTGCGACGGATGCAGACACTGGACGTAATGCTGAAATCACTTACCTATTAGGCGATGATGCTCCATCTGAATTCAACCTGGATCAGCGTACAGGCATTCTGACTGCAATGAAGAAACTGGATAGAGAAAAACAGGAAAAGTATTACTTTACAGTTCTGGCAAAAGATAACGGGATTCCACCCTTAATAACCAATGTCACAGTCTTAGTGACAGTTCTTGATCAAAATGACAACAGTCCAATTTTCACACACAATGAATATAATTTCTATGTCCCAGAAAACCTTTCTAGACATGGCACAGTAGGACTAATCACTGTAACTGATCCTGATTATGGAGAAAATTCTGCAGTTACTCTCTCCATTTTAGATGTGAATGATGACTTCACCATTGATTCACAGACTGGTGTCATTCGACCAAATATTTCATTTGACAGAGAAAAACAAGAGTCTTATACTTTCTATGTACAGGCTGAGGATGGTGGTAGGGTATCACGTTCTTCAACTGCCAAAGTGACCATAAATGTGGTTGATGTCAATGACAACAAGCCAGTTTTTCTTGTCCCTTCTTCCAACTACTCCTATGAATTGGTTCTACCATCCACTGATCCGGGCACAGTGGTCTTCACAGTAGTTGCTATTGACAATGACACTGGCATGAATGCAGAGCTTCAGTACAGCATTGTAGGAGGAAATGCAAGAGGTCTGTTTATAATCAACCAAACAACAGGCAACATTACAATGAAGGAGAAATGTGTTTTAGCAGACCTTGGTTTACACAGACTGGTAGTCAAAGCTAACGACTTAGGGCAACCTGATTCTCTCTTCAGTGTTGTAAGAGTTAATCTATTTGTGAATGAGTCAGTAACTAATGCTACACTGATTCATGAATTGGTGCACAGAAACACTGAAACATCAGTAACCCAAAATATCGAGACAACTGATTCATCCTCCCCAACCACTGACTATGTCAAGATCATGGTTGCCATTGTTGCTGGCACCATAACTGTCATCCTTGTTATTTTCATCACTGCTGTCATAAGATGCTGCCAATCACCACACCTTAAGGCTGCTCAGAAAAACAAGCAGAATTCTGAATGGGTTACTCCAAACCCAGAAAATCGGCAGATGATAATGATGAAGAAAAAGAAGAAGAAGAAGAAGAAGCATGCCCCTAAGAACTTGCTGCTTAACTTTGTCACTATTGAGGAAACTAAGGCAGATGATGCTGACAATGATGGAAAGAGCATCACACTAGACCTTCCCATTGAGCTGGAAGAGCAAACCATGTGCAAGTACAATTGGGGCACTACACCTACTACTTTCAAGCCTGACAGTCCTGATTTGGCCAGGCACTACAAATCTGCATCCCCACAGCCTGCTTTCCAGATCCAACCAGAAACTCCCCTGAATTCAAAGCACCACATCATCCAGGAACTGCCTCTTGATAATACCTTTGTGGCCTGTGATTCCATCTCCAAGTGTTCCTCCAGCAGTTCTGATCCCTACAGTGTTTCTGAGTACAGCTATCCGGTGACAACTTTCAAGACCCCTGTGTCTGTACACACCAGATTGGTAGGTATTCACAGTTTCTAACTAACTTTTCTAATTTTATTTTGTTTTGTTTTTTAATTATTTTAAGTTGAAGTAGAATTTTACAATATCTATTAACTCAAAAAAGGATCAAAACAATCATACTCTGCAGAAGTATTTAAATAGATATATGGATTAATTTTAAGTTTGGTAGAAAATGAGAACAAATAACTCTTTAAAAAAAAAAAACTTCACCCCAGGATAAATTTTCCATTGATCTTTAAAGAGGGGGTAAAGAGAAAGGAGGCAGGAGGGGGGAGAGAGGAAGAGGAACATCAATGTAAAAGAAACACATCATCTGAATGCCTCCTGCATGCTCCCCAACCAGGTGCCAGGGATACAGCCTGCAACCAGGGTGCATGCCCTTCACCAGGAAATGAACTCATGACCCTTTGATCCATGGGCTAACACTCTAACCACTGAGAAAAACTGGCCAGGGCCTAATAACTGTTGATTGTAGAAAAACTTGGTCTGAACCATGATTATAATAGGGCCAAGGTTGTCTGTAGATGTCAGTATAGCACATCTTGCTATAGAATATACTGGAAAAACTCTAAAATAAAGGGGTCCTGGCACTGTCCTCAGTACCATTGTGTGCATGAGCATCAGGACAGTTGAGGCCAGACCCATCACACTAAAGCTGTTTATAATCTAATAAGTCGGTGTTAAAGGTGTTGAGAATCCCAGCTTCACTTGAGAAAATCTGTGTGTACTCAAAACATTCAAATAACATCAAGACATCTTTCCTACCCACAATGTCCCTAAGCCCATACAATGAAAACAGAGTATCATTTTTACATTAAGTATTTACCATTATTCTGGTTCAGAAAATCTATATTCAAACAATGTAACAAGGATGGGATTAGAAAAATGAAGTCTTGTTACTCAGTCTCATCTTCAAGCCAGAGAATGAAATATACATAAGATCTCTATTTTAGATATTCATTTAAGTATTTCCATATTTATACAATATATTGAGAGTCCTTCAGGATATATTCCTGAAAGATAATGGCTTTTGGAAAATGAAATATGTTTGCTTTCTCTAATGGACAAGAAAGTAAATAAAGGCATAGTAAGACCCAAGAAATCTTTAAATAATAATTTAAAACCCAAAAATAAATTTATGAAAATAATGTATACAATGTTTTTTTATCTTATACCATGGAGAAGAAAAATGAATAAAAATTTATCCAGAAATTCATAAGTAAATTAAATTATTTAAATGTGGTTATTTCCTTAATAAAGTGATGTACTTTATCTATTTTTATTTTTCTCAAAGTCATGCCACATGTTGACTTCATTATTCTGTTTTTGTTACTCTTAAAAAAGTCATCATCTCAGTTTCAGTGAATGAAAGTTTTTGAAACCTATTCAGGGTTAATAAAATGATAGTGATGTGAAAGTGAATATAAGAGTCTTCTCAACAAGGTTAGAAATAATAAAGAAGTCTATTAGGATTCAAAATAACAATGAATATACCATATTTTAAGAAATTATTTTAAGAATCATGGTCATTCAAGGATAGGTATGGTTTAATTATAGCATAACATGATTTTTCTCTCTTAAGCACACAGTAAAGGATGCGTATGTTGTTACTATAGGTCCATAGTTATACTATTGCAGATGATAAAACAGAACCCTTAGTCACTTTGTGGAAAATTTCTGTTATGTCTTAAATGAGTTTACAGGGCAGTAGTTATTTCTCTGGTATGAATGGGCCCCATTTTTTTCTACTTCAGTGGATCTTGGATGGGTTATAAACACAATAAATGCCTAACATCTTGGGATGTGTTTTTGTTAATACTTAACAATTGAAAATGGCACTCTTATTTTCTGATTATTTTTGGTTATTATTCTGTTTATTGGAAGCATTTCTCAATAGGAAAACATCCTTTATGTATAACACTTTATATGTATTTTGTATCCTAATAGCACTTTTCCTTGGACTAAATTTATGACTCACTTAAAAGTGTATAAGAAAGGTAATGTTTGTGCATTATATTTGGATATCACCATTTTTAACAGATTGGCTAAAAATGTAGTTTGTTAAAAGAGTAAATTCTGATTTCAACTGTTTTGGAAAGCATGGAGATGTTTTATGAGATAGATTTATTTTACTTGAGAATATACAGTAAGCAAGGCATGGATGAAAGGAAAAAATAAAGTGTTTTTCAAATATCCTCTTTACTTATTGTTGGCATGTGGTAATTTTTTATAAGTAGTAAAATTAATAACTTTATCAATGATGACATTTTATTTTATTTAGCTAAGAGATCTTTTCCTAGACACAGGACAAATAAATTAATGAGATAGGCAAAATAAGTAAAGTGAACATTAATGAGAATAAATTTTTGGTTATCATTAGGTTTTTTCTTAGCTAAAAAGACTATCTTAGAATCAATGAGTTCTTAGATGACTTATTCTATTTTTTCAAATCTTAAAAATAAGTAAATTGTATATTTTATGTATTTCATTCACAGTTGTTTCATATTAATTACTAAATATTTTCTGGACATGAATTGGAGAATTTCGGCAGATTAAAATGTTATTAAACATAATGTGATTCCTTTTATTTTGTGCTGCATTTGCAATATTCTTCAGCCTATGTATATACTCTTTAATTTCTGATTAATTCCAGGATAGCCACCTTATATTCACTGATGTTGCAGAATGCTAAGAAGCTAAGTGAGCACTGAAAAAAAAATACTAGTGTATATAAAAATTCAAATGCAGTAGGTGTTTTCTTTTTAAAGAAAAATCATACAAAATGGGGGAAAGTGTCAGCCAATAAAATAAAAATGCATTATTCCTTAAGGAAACTTTGACAGTGGAATAAAATATTACTGTTAGCAGAAGGCAAATATTCCAGCTTATTTTAAACAAAGTAAGAAATGCATTTTCTAAAGGGGAGTTTAGTATTCTATTTACATTTAGCTCCTTACTTATCTAAATGGGAAAGGAAATAAATGGAATGGTTCTATTAGGCTGCAAAATATAAGGGATTTATCAGAAATTTCATGTTTTAAAAAGGCAATAAAATATTTTCTATAATTTTTATGACACTGGTGTTCAGAAAAAATATGGAACATTTATGATAGAATTGTCTCTATTGTATAAAACCTTTGATACTTGAGGATTTTGAAGCTCTTCTTTGGTACAAAGTTGTAGTAGTATTCTGGAATGTACTTTATATATAGCATGTTACCCCAAAATTTATATACTTTAACAGTTAGTAGCTATTAAATGAAATACATTTTAATAAATACTGCATTTATAATTATTCAAAGTGTGCATATACATTTTGGGGGATATCCTGTATATTGTAGTGGAAATTAAAAACAAAATTTAAAACTGATTCACCTTCAGTTAACATCTTTCAGAGCAAGCAGACAGCTTTTGGTTGGCATGACTCTAAGAAAACACTAAGTAACACCATTTTAGAATCAAATCGTTTTTTGTTATTTTTTGTAGTTTAGTCTTTAACTTTTATTTTTTAAAATTCTTTATTGTTTAAATTATTACATATAGTATTACATATGTCTCCTTCCCTGCCCCCCCCATTAACCTCTCCCAGCCACCCCCACCCCCCAGCACATGCCCTCACCCCCCTAGAATCTGTGTCTACTGGTTATGCTTATATGCATGCACATGAGTCCTTTGGTTGATCTCTTACTCCCCTGAAGTTTGACAGTCCGTTCCATGCTTCTCTAACTCTGAATCTAAGTTTTGTTCATCAGTTTATGTTGCTCATTATATTCCATAAATGAGTGAGATCATGTGATATTTATCTTTCTCCGACTGGCTTATTTCGCTTAGCATAATGCTCTCCACATCCATCCATGCAGTTGCAAATGGTAAGAGTTCCTTATTTTTTAAGGAAGTGTAGTATTGCATTGTGTAAATGTACCAGGGTTTTTTTTAATACACTCATCTGCTGATGGGCACTTAGGTTGTTCCTAAATCTTAGCTATTATAAATTGTGCTGATATGAATGTAGGGGTGCATATATCATTTCTGATTGGTGTTTCTGGTTTCTTGGGATATATTCCTAGAAGTGGGATTACTGGGTCAAATGGGAGTTCCATTTTTAACTTTTTGAGGAAACTCCATACTGTTTTCCACAATGACTGGACCAGTCTGCATTCTCACCAGCAGTGCACGAGGGTTTCTTTTTCTCCACATCCTCATCATTGTTTTGATTTTCATCTCTCAGATGATTATTGATTTTGAGTATGTTTTCATATGTCTCTTGGCCTTCTGTATGTCCACTTTCAAAAAGTGTCTATTTAATGTCCTCTGCCCATTGTTGATTGGATTGTTTATCTTCTTTTTATTAATATGTCTGAATTCCCTATAAATTTTGGAGATTAGACCCTTATCCAATATAACATTGGCAAATATGTTCTCCCATGCAGTGCGCTTTCTTGGTGTTTCACTGATGGTTTCTTTTGATGTGCAGAAGCTTTTTATTTTGATGTAGTCCCATTTGTTTAGTTTCTCCTTAGTTTCCATTTCCCTAGGAGCTGTATTGGTAAAGATATTGCTATAGCTCCATTGTATGCTCTTGCCTCCTTTGTCAAATATTAATTGAGCATGTTGGCTTGGGTTGATTTCTGTGTTCTTTGTTCTGTTCCACTGGTCTATATGTCTGTTCTTATGTCAGTACCAGGCAATTTTGAGAACAGTGACTTTGTAATATAGATCAATATCTGGTATTGTGATCCCTCAAACTTTGCTCTTTCTTAGGATTACTGTGGCTGTTCGGGGTCTTTTTTTATTCCAGATGAATTTGTGGAGAGTTTGTTCTAGGTCTGAAATATGTTGTTGGTATTTTATTGGGTGTTGCCTTAAATCTATAGATTGCTTTGGGTAGTATGGACATTTTAATGATGTTTAATTGATTCTACCAATCTATGAACATGGTATATTCTTCCATTTCTTTATATCATCCTCCATTTCTTTTTTCAATGTCCTGTAGTTTT